CTGGTGTCCAGCTCATTGGCCTACACACACCTTTCCTGTCCTATCTTGCGCATACACCTGTTTGGGCCCTAGCGCGTACGTGCACGCGCACAAACAATCCAAGCTGCTGGGTGCCGGGCCTGTTACAGTACAATGAGGTCCGGCTCATCGGTTGTCCCTGGTCACCTGGTTTCCTTGTCATTACCTCTACCATCCTTTACCTGCACTGCAGGAATTCTTTGTTCCATGTCCTTTCTTCATGCCCTTTCTTTGATCTTTTCTTGCGCGCACATGATTGGGCCTCCTGAAAACTCAGGTCTGCATTCGAGCCCTTGCCCAGTGTTTGTGTGTGTGGAAACCCCTTCCCCCGTTTCTAGTCACGCAGGATGCTTTAAATGCTCCCTTTCGAGGGGGCTGCGTCGGATGGTTTAACAAATTACAGTAACAGTAACAGTAATAAAATTTGCAACATGTGCTTGAGAATGCAGAAGCAGAAGCAGGAAGGCAACGACCAATCTTCCTACCTTGCCTTAACCAAGCTACCAAAGTTTGGTCACGGCTGATCACCATGACGTACCTGCTCAATTTATGAATGTTGATAGCTACGTCCCACTCTAATACGAGTATCAAGGCTGTTTGGGTTGATCTCAGGTCGGCAAATGTGAGCGCTCGCCATCGCTCTCTTTATCTCATACCCCTGGACTCTTAGGTGTTCATGCCTAGGTGGGCGTGTGGCATGTGTAAATTTATATATCCCGAGTGTGTAAGCCTGGCAAACTTGCGTTGCACGCCTCATGTTTTGAATTTAGCGGTCTTTGTTGAATTGCAAAATGCAGCATGCTTCGGTTAGGCATTTGTGATCCCTTACAGCTGGGCCTTGCCACCTTGGCCAAATGCTCCAGGCTGTGCTGAGCCTCAGAAAGACTCTGCGCAAGTCCAGGGACTCAACGTCTTTCTATAACTGTATAGTTATATAAATAGATATATATTATACATAATATATTGTGTTTCTCCAAGTTTCAAGCTACAGTACTCATGACGTTGCATCATACACAAAACGCACAATAAATTGTCCTCTCATTATCCTGATTCTCTATCTGACATACAGCCATAGGCCATAGGGTTGAAAACTTGGCTCAGATTTGTAGGACTGGCGTTTCGCTTGCAAAATGTAGTTGTGAAACGAACAAAGAAGCTCATCAGCACAACAAAATGTTGGGTTTTGCTTAGCACCCCACATTCTGAATTGCCCGCACGTCATCACAAAGCCGTTGTTTCGGCAACCTGAGACGGGAATGAAGTGCTTGTGGCCGATCATGCAGGGTAATTACCGGACCAACCCAGAGAGTTTCGGCAGTCAAGAGACAATGTTGTAAACGTAGTGGCGAGTAACAATGTCTTTTCATGAAAAGACATTACAAAAGCATTGAAAAAGCATGAAAAACTTTGATAATTAATCAAATCCAAGCATCACTCCCAAGCCGACCGCGACACAACAACAGAATCCAAGAATATCCAATGCTACCATATATTATATATATGTATATTCGGGGCGCGAGCATCATGGGACTTGCGCTGTGCGCTGTTCCATTTATTCCACGACGACATTTGCAGGCGGCACCCCAATGGTCTCGTCTTAGCACATACAACTTGGCAAAAAGAGTCGGACCTGAGGCCTGCACGCTTCTTGTACCTTTTCAGGCCTCAACATCTTTGAGCCGTAGCGAGATCCTCTGCTGACTAGTGACTATACAAATACCCTTGGCAAATGTGTCAAATGTTGTCAACGGCTTAATCAATACTCTCTTGCGCAATATAACTCAAGGAGTATCTGCAAAAGCGCATATGCTGCATACATTGAAATGCATAATTGATTTGATATTGATTTGATATAAACATGATGTAAGAAACAGGTGAAACAAATTCATGCAGGACAAACAACCGCACTCCAAGTCGTCTCTTCACTCACAACCGCAACTGTACTAAGCCAAACTTTGACTAGCGGAATTTCATAAATTCTCATGGTGTGAAACCCATTGATCACAGAGTGCCTCTGGGTAATCGCCATCCAGGGCCATCAACGGCCGACCCAGGTCTCCCTACGAAACGATGGAACTACCGAACCTTTGTGAACGCAATGGTGTCTGCCGCCTCAGAGTTCACAGGAGAGGCAGTGAAATAGGCACCACGGTTGCAGAGTCTGCTCATTCTAAATGTTGGGTTCTGATGTTGTCAGGTGAAAGTGATGGTGGGGGTCACGTGTGTGTGTGTCCCACCCTGGACAAAGGGTCTTACACCACCACTCTTCC